GTGAACATAACATTTTTAATTAATAAAACTGAATTTGTTTTAAGAGAAAAAGAAACTGGAAAAATGGGTTAAAAAAAAAAAGACCAAACTATATGTGCTGCCTATAACCCACTTCAAACAGAATAGTATAGGCAAGTTGAAAGCAAAAGGATGAAAAAGCATACATCATGAAAACATTAATCAAAGAAAGCAAGTCTGACTATACTAACATCAGATAAAATAGACTCTTATGCAAGGAAAATAACCAGAGAAAGATGGTAACATTATTTAATGATAAACTCATAGAACTAAATGAGAAACAGACAAATCCACAATTGTAGTTGCAGACTTCAACATTCCTCTCTCAAAAATTGATAGAATTACCGAGAATTAGAAAGAGACAGACAAAGAATATAGAAGAATGAGTTGACATTTATAAACTATTTCATCCAACAACAGTAGAATACACATTATTTTCAAGTGTTTATAGAATATATATCAAGATAGACCATATCCTGGGCCACTAAAAACAAACCTCAACAATATAAAAAAAAAATTGAAATATGGGGTCTTCTAATCACAATGGAATCAAACTGGAAATTAACAGAAAGAGAGCAGTAAAACTACAAACACTTGGACACAATATACTTATAAACATAGCATGAATCAAAGAAAGAAAATACAACATACTAAAATTCGTGGAACACAAACAAAGCAGTACCAAGAGGAAAATTAAAGATGTAGAAAGTATTTACAGAAAAGTCTTAAATAGTCAATGTAAGCAATAACCTAGAGAATCTAGGGGAAAGAAAATCATAAAAATAAGAGCAAGTGAAAACAGAATTAAGAAAATCAATCAATTGATTAGAAAGATGCGATATATATACACAATGGAATACTATTCAACTATAAAAAGATAAAAAATTGTCGATTGTAACAATTTGGATGGAACTGAAGGGAATTGTGCAAAGTGAAATAAAATAAGTGAGATAGAAAAAGATTATTAGATGGTTTCACTTATATGTGGAATGTAGAGAAACAAATGGTCAGATAAAACCAAATGAATAAAAAACCCTAGAAAATTTGACGATAGAATTGAAGCTTCCAGAGTGGGAAAAGGAAGGTGGAGAGCAACTTGAGAGGAGGCACAATGAACAATGAGAAAGGACTATGAGTTCCTTGGTAGTGGGTGTTGTATAGTAACATATACCTATAACTCTAAATAATAGTGTTGTAAAGCAATGTTGACTCAATGTAAAAAAAGGTAATTAAAAATAACAACAGCAATAATACTCGCACCCTGCTCAAAAAAAAAAAAAAAAAAACTAATGAAAGAAAGAGTTGGTACTTTGAAAAGACCAACAAAATTAAGAAATCTCTGGCAAGATTAACATGAAAATGCTTCACCACTAGCATAGTGCTCTGTAACTTATGAACACATCTGTTAACTCACACAACATGAAATCAGTTAATTTAAATAGCCTTCTAACTATTAAGGAAATTGAAAACATACTTTAAAAGCTCTCAAAGGAAAGTCTTTCAAGCCAAAATTATTTCACTGGAGTAATCTACTAAAATATTTAAAGAACTGTCATCAATTCTATATCAGAACTTCCAAACTTATTTTATGAGACTAGTATTACCCTGATACCCAAACCAGACAAAGACAGTAAAAAAAAAAAAAACTTCAAGGGGGAAAAAAACTCAAGTCAATATCCCTTGTGAATAGAGATGTAAAAGTCTGTAACAAAATATTAGCACATATAATACATAAATATATTTAAAAATTATATACTGTGACTAAGAGGCATTTATTCCACAGGGGAATTTGAAGGGCAGTCAATATAATCCAAAATGAAAAATCATGTGACAATAACAATTTGATAAAAACACTGATAAAAATCAAAAAGAAGTCATAAAAAGTTATAAAAATTCTTAGAAAACAGAAGTTGAGAACTTCCTCAATTCAATAAAGAAAGTCCATAGTTAACCTGATACTTAATGATAAAATATTGAATACATCCTTCCTAACATGAGGAACAAGGTATTCTTACCTTGTATTCTTATCTACTATCACAACTTTTATTTAAGAGGGCTGGAAGTTCTAGTCAAAGCAAGAAAAGAAAACGGAAGGCATACAACTAGTAAACCATCTCTATGTGCAAATGACATGTCTATATAGAAAATCTCATGGTATCTACAAAACCACTCCTAGAACTATTAAGTTCAGAAAGTTACAGAATACAAAACATACAAAAAATATATTTATACTAGCAATGAGCACATGAAAATTAAAATTGGAAATATATTATCACTTATAATCACTCCAAAAAATTATATTTTGGTACAAATCTAGCAAACCTATATAAGACATGCATGCTGAAAACTACACTGTTTTGTTTATTTTATATATATATTTACAGCATTCTTCATTTTTGCACAATGTATGCTTTCTCCTCTCAGGTGTAGTCCCCTTAAAATTCCCATAACCAATCACCCATGCACCATCACCAGAAGCCCTTGTGCTCTTCCCTCCCCCATTTTATCCTTCTCCCTCCTACTCCTCTGCAAAATGTCTCTGATTTATAGGTACCTCTTGATTTTGATTTTTAATTTATTATAACTTTTTTTTTCCTGATCACTTATTTGGTCCCTCTACATTTCTCCAATAAGTGAAACCATCTGATACTTTTTTTCTTTTCCTTCTGGCTTATTTCACTGAGCATAAGCCCTTTCAGCTCCATCCATGTTGCTGCAAACAGCATGAGTATATCTTTTTGGATTGCTGAATAATATTCCAATGTGTATATATACCATTTCCTCTTGATCCAATCATTTTATTTTTGGGCATTTGTACTGTTTCCATACTTAACTAGTGTAGATAGCACAGCAATAAACATAAGGGTGAAGGTATCCTTTTGAATTAATGTTTTTGTGTGCTTTGCGTTCCCACCAGCAGTGTAGGAGAATTCCTTTTTCTCCACATCCTCGCCTACACTTGTTTCTGCTAGTTTTTTTTTAATATGTAATATTCTCACTGGTGTAAGTGAATATCTCATTGAGGTTTTGATTTGCATTTCCCTGATTACAAGTGATGTTGCACATTTTGAAAACTACTCTATATTGATGAAAGAAACCAAAGATCTAATAAATGGAGAGCCCTGTTATGTTCACAGGTCAAAAGACTCAACATAATCCTCCCCAAATTGACAAACCTGTTGATAGGAATTCCTATCAAAATCACAGAGATATCACACAATCCCATCAAAATCACCATACATACACACACACACCACACACATATCCTACTGTGATCCTACAGATGTGTGTGTGCATAGCTATATATGAGATTTTTCTAAAAATAAATTAATAAGGCAGAGGAACTGAACAGCTAAAACAATTTTTAAAAAGGTTAATAAAGTAAGAGAAATCACCACCTAATTTAAAGATTTAATATATAGCTTTGATATATTGGTTGATGGATAAATAGAGTTCAGTGGAACAGAATAGAGAATACAGAAATAGGCCCAAACAAATACACCCAAATAACTTTTTAACAAAGGTGTAAAACCAATTTATTGGAGAAAGGACAGCCTTTCTAAGAAATGGTGCAGTTACAATTGGGCATCCAAAAGCAAATAAATGAAACTTGGCCTCATATCTTATACCAAAAGTAACCATGAATCATAACCTTAAACACAAAGATAAACAAATTTTTAGCAAAAAAGAGGAGAAAATCTTTAAGATCTAGAGCTAAGCAGTGAATTATTATACTTAACACCAAAAACACAACACACAAAAGGAACAACTGGCACTCTGTGAAAGTTCATGTGAAGATAAAGACAAGCATAAAAATATCTGTAAATTACTTGTCCAACAAAGTACTAGCGCCTAGTTTATAAAAGATTTTCAAACCTCTACAGTAAATAAACAAACAATACAATTAGAAAATGGACAAAAGTCATTAATGCACATTTCACTGAAGAGATGGGGATGACAAATAAGTGTTTGAAAATGTTCAGTATCATTAACCACTAGGAAAATGCAATTAAAACCACATACCTATCACAACAATGGCAAAAAAAAAAAAAAAAGAGAAAATAACAAATTCTTGGTGAGCATGCAGAAACTGGATTACTCAGTGCTAGTAAGAATGTAAACTGATACAACTGCTCTAGAAAACAGCTTGGCAGTTTCCTAAAAATTGAACATCCAACTACCATATGACCCATATGACTACACTCCTGATAATTTATTTATCCCAGAGAAATAAAAGCAATATTCATACAAAAACCTTCTGGGGCCATACTGCAGAATGCTACTAAGCAGTAAAGAAGATCCAACTATTGATAAATGCAACAACCAATTTTGGATAAAGTTCCAGAGTGAAATATCATATACTCTATGATTCCACTTATATAACATTCTTGACATGATAAAATAATAGAAACAAAAGGTAGATTAGGGCTTGCCAGCATCTTAGCAGGTCAGAAGGAAAAATAAATGGGATACAGCTGCAAAGGAACAAGATGAGGACACTTGTACGTGATGGGAACATTCAACTTGACTGAGTCAATGTTATCCTGGTTGTGACTATATGATAGTTTCAAAGATGTTACCATTCAGGAAATCTGGGAAAGATTACACATGCAGGATATCCCAATTATTTCTTACAACAGCATGTGAATCAACAATTATCTCAAAACAAAAGTCTAATTTTCAAAAATAAAAAAATAAAAAAAGCAGAGCTTCACTTGCTTAAGTATCATTTACCAAATTAATGAAGGAGCTTCATCTTTCAAAGTTACCATAAAGAAACTGAAATTTTCAGTTATTATTTTCCTTCCTAACCTCTTTGAAATTCTAAAGACTCTTACACAATTGAGTCTGGCTGATTTACCATGTGTATTGAACTCCTGTAAGAATGAAAATAACAATATGCATTTACATGTTGGTCCCACATTTTATTTGCTCATTTAGAACTTTAAACCATTTCCCAAAAGGATAAGAGATTATCATACCTTGGCGCCATATAAATCTGAGTTCTTCATTAGAAATTCTGCTGATGTTCGCACTGTGACTCCTGTTGTTTCACATTGTAGTACACAGTTTTCCAGTGTAGTCTTGCCACGGTGAATGACTATGATGACAACATGCAGTCAACTGCTTTAAGAAGTAATGTGTCTTTTCAACATTAAAAATGACCTAAAGCAGGCCCTCCCTGGTGGAACAGCGAATTGGGACTCAGCACTGCAGGACACAGCCACAGTCACTTCAGTGCGGGTTGGATCCCAGCCCCTCGGGTGATCCACATGGCAAGCCCTACTGCTCCCCTCAGCAGTGTACTTTGTCGTTCTGCCTGCTCTGCTCCCCACTCTGTCTCTAGTGAATCCTCTCACCACCCCTGCACCTCTGGCTTGTACCCCAGTTCTGTATGAATAAATAAATCTTAAAAAAAAAAATACCTAAAGCTGGGCCCTCCCTGGTGGTGCAACAGCACTACGAAGCTGGCTGTAGCTGCTTCAGCATGAGTTCAATCCTGGCAAGGGAGGTGACCCACATGGCACAGCAGACCTCTGCTGACCAGCCCACTACCCTCCTCAGCAGTGTACGTGGTCAATCTTCCTATAAGGCTCCCCACTCTGACTCTAGGGAAACCTGCACCTCTGGCCTATACCCCAGTTTTGTACGCATAAATCAGTAAATCTTAAAAAAAAAGAAAAAACTAAAGCTGACATTAGATACAATCTGAGTATTTCTCAATAACTATCATTTACAAATCTTAATACATTAAAACAATGGTTGTTTTAATTGTCTAAAATCTAAAAGTAGCATTCTTTAAAAAAAATTACTTTAGAAAAGCAAAATCAAGTTAAAAACACCTTTCATTACAAACAAAAGTAACACTTTCTGATACAACAGAGACCACAATATTGGATTTAAAAAAAAAAAACTCATCACACAGGAATATTAAACTAACAAATTTTCTAGAAGGGCTGAATTATTTTCACTATGAAGTAAGTTCCTAAGTCACTATGCTATGTACACAAATAAAAAGATTTTATTTAGGGCCCTCCCTGGTGGCGCAGCGGGTTAAAGCACAGCACTGAGAAGCTAAAGCCACTTCCACATGAGTTCGATTCCCGCCTGCCCCGGAGGAGACCACATGGCGTGGCAGACCTCTCCTGACCCGCCCGCTGCTCCTCTCAGCAGTGTACTTCGTTGATCTGCCTGTTCTGCTCCCCACTCTGTCTCTGGTGAAGCCTCTCGCCGCCCCTGCACCTCTGGCCTGTACCCCAGTTCTGTATGCATAAATAAATAAATCTTTAAAAAAAAAAAAAGATTTTATTTAATAATCAGCCATACATATACTCAAATGGTATTTTCCAGTGAAAGGGAAAATTTTTCTTCCAAGTTTGGAAAAAATAATATACAAAATATTCACTTACTTAAGATTCCTTCTACGGCATCATGCTGAACAAATTTTATACTTGAGATTTTAATATCTGCACCAGTACAATCCACAAAAGTATCACCTTTGCCCCTCTTTTCTATTACAATATCATCTGGTAGACCATATCCTAATGAAGAAAACAAGATGGATGGAAAAAACATCTAAACAAAATTGCTATGACAAATTTCTCCATTTCAAACAACTCCAAATGATAGTTGTGACCAGTCAATCCAGTTGCATTAAATATTAAATATTATTCCCCTATATTATTTAATTGAAACCAGGGTACGATACTGTGGTTTTTAAGAAACACATATTTGCTAATTTAGATAAGCAAAATAGATTTCTCAAACATATTTGGTCTTTATTCACAGTTCTTGATACACAGCTCCCATAACCCCTCAAATTTCTCATGAGGGAAAATATCCCACAAGTTTATGTTAATGAGGTGGCTTTGGGAGGGTGGGGGGTTACTTTCCATGGGACTCAACTATGTGAATAAGACAGAGGGTTGTAATTTTCAGTTCCACTCCCTGAATGAGTTCAACCACCAGGGGAGTTAATCAAACATGCCTCTGTAAGCCTCCATAAAAATCCAAAAGAACAAGGTTTATAAGTTCACCTGTTGGTAAACATATGAAAGTTCTAGGAAACTTCACTCTTCCATCTTGTAGCTCCTGAGTTATAATCAACTTATAAACTGGTAGCCTAGTGAATAAAGGGATTTCAAAAGTTCTGTGAAGTTCGGGGGGCCCCCCTGGTAGTGCAGGGATTAGTCTCAGAACTATCAAGCTATTCAGCCACTGCAGCATGAGTTCAATTTCTGGCCAGGGTAGCAGACCTTCCCTATCTTGCCTGTTGCTCCCCTCAGCAGTATATTTCAGTAGATCCACATGTTTTGCTCCTCACTGTCTCTGGTGAATTCTCTTACCCCTTACACTCACACCTCTGGCCTAGACCCCAGTTCCTATATGCATAAATAAATAGCAAATTAAGGGAGCCCAAGAAGGCAGTCATGGAACTTCTAATTTATAGCCTATCCGAAGCACTGGCCTTGCAACTGGTATCTGAAGTGAAGGGCAGCCTTGGGAGACTGAATCTACTGCCTGTGGAATTCAATGCTACCTCCAAAAGATTATATCAGAATTGAGTTGGATTCTTGGACACCATATTGGTTTCTGAGAATTATCTGTTCATGTAGAGAAGACTTCATGCATATTCATGCTGAAATTGGGTCCAAGAATCCATTCCCAGGATACAGAATTTTTAACACTAACAATTTCTCAATCTGCTCCCATATCAGGAAGACTACACTATCAACCATCTAAGATTAGCTGAGCAGTAAATTCACTTGTAAAACTATTATAAAAAAAAATAATAATAACAATCCTAAGTACTCACAACTGGGTCAGCAGGTTTTAAAGGATTCAGTCCTTAAGTTTGTTTCTCCTACTTTAAGGTTCTATTATTCTATCATAAATTAAGTTTGAAATGTCTAACCATTTTTCAAGAAAAATAATTTCAGTATTCTCTTAAGCATTGAAAATCTGTCAAAGTAACTTAAAAGTGTTTTAGCTATTAGGAAAGAGGTCTATCTTGTTAAACAATTATAAAAAATGGATTTCTACAAATCTTAATCAAACTAATAATGCACACCAAACTTTTGAAAAGGCTTACGAAAGTATGAAGTACCAGAAAACTAGAAATCTAACCTATTTTCACCAAAAGCCAGCACCAAATAGACAAAGCTAGAAGAACTAATTGTCTAAAAATGAATAAAGGAAAGAAGTAACTACATAAAATAGGCCATCTCTGAAGTTAGCTACACTTGAAGAGTGCAGACACACCTTTGAGGGCCCTGGAGAATGCAAGAGGACTCTGTCCTGGACTCACCAGCAGCAGCAGAATCTGAATGATGGTTATGAGTAATTCTTTGTCTGATTCTTAGGCATCTGCTTATATTTTGCACACTTTCTACAATAACCAGTTTTGTACCATCAGAAAAATTAAAAATATAAAAAAGTTCCCATAATGAAAGATGAAAAAATATTGCATATAAACAAATTACATGTTCTTAGCAGTTTAAAACAAAGAGTCAACACCTAATTGAATGGATGTTCTACACAAGAAAGAAAAACCCTATTAGAAGTAATAGTAACATCCTGTATATAGTAAATACTTCATATATATCATGTATTACAAGAGTTAGATATAGATCACTATCAATTAAACTATAATCTTATTCATGATTACAGTTTATGACACTCCATATATTCATATTAGAGAAACCATGTGATTTCCCAAATTCTCAGAAATTGTTAGTAAACTTAGTCATTTATATACTTAACTATCAGAATTTTACATAGTTATGATACTCTAGCAATTACATTATAATTTCCTTACCACTCTAGAACTCTTAACTATAATACAATCTAAAATATCACTGCTATTTTCACTATGCAAAGAAATGAAAGTGTTGTTACTGAAGTGATTTATTCAGCAAATATGTTAATATATTTATACATCTATTCAAATATTGGAGCGGAAAAAGAACAAAAATTACACGCATTAAACAAAAAATGGGGTGATGTGATGTACCAGTGAACAGCAGGACATTAAACTCCCAGGCTTGCTTCCATTAAGAAGTTTTGACAAGATAAAGATAAAGTACATAGCTTAAGCAGTTTGTGAACAGCTGCATAAGTCCCAAAATGATAAACGATTTTTTGCATTACAACTTTTATTGCTAACTTGAAGTTCTTTTGGTAAACAGTTGAACAGGTGTATCTAAATTTGACACGTTATGAAAATATACAGGACCAAGATGAATGACTATAAAGTAACTTAAATTCAGGAATCACTCTAGATGTACAATAAGATTATGACCATTCAAAATTTCTTCAACATTACTATTCTCAAAAGCACACTTTAGTCAAGGGGGGAAACGTAGAGAATCTGTGACATTCAGCAAGCTTTTAAAGAATTAAGATAAATTATTTTACATACCTCTTAAAAAAATAAGCTAAATTTATAACAAAAAATCAGGCACTAATATTCATCACATACACAAGACTAAAAAGAGTAAGCAACAAATACACATCCAAAACAAGAGTAAGCAACAAATAAAAAATACTACACTTAAAAAAAATATTGCCGAGAATATACTTTTATTCTGGAAGTGAAATTTCCTTCCCATAAGCCACCTACAATCTGGGAAGTATGCTTTTTATGGATGAATGGATGGATGGATGAATGGGTGAATGGATGGATAGATGGATGGATGGGTGGATGGATGGATGGATGGATGGATGGATGGATGGATGGATGGATGGATGGGTGGGTGGATGGGTGGATGGATGGATGGATGGATGGGTGGATGGATGGATGGACGGATGGAGAGAGACAGATTACTTGCCTTCCCAACACATACAATGCCATAAAGAAACCTATCCCAAGTGCTCAAGCACTGATCCATCTCATGCCTCAAGGCAACTCATTTGAAAACAAATGGGTTGAAATCAGCTTCAACAAAGTCAAAGATTTTATGTTTTCTTAACTGGATCATGCAAAAGAGATTGATTGTGTGATTGTTCATACTCACCTTCCAACTCAATGGAGTCAGCAATGGAGAATGTGCCAGGTACCATGTAATGACCAGGACAAATAATAACAGTGTCACCTTCATAGCAGGCATTTATAGCTGATAATGGATCACTATGGAACTAGAAAACAACATTATTGCAGATATACACCCCCAAACCTGAGTATTAGTTCAACTGACTTCACGTAGTTGTCTGAAAAGGAAGTGATACAGGCTTCCTTGTCCCTGTTTATTGAGTTTTACTTTGTGGCACTTCAGATATTACATTTTTTACAAGATACTCTACCAGTAACAAAGATAATGACTTGAAGACTTGATGGTTAACACCTTTCAGCAATGAAGTATTTTTTAATTAAGGTATGCACATTGTTTTTTAGAAGTAATACACACTTAATAGGCTACACGATGTTGTAAACATAACTTTTATGTGCACTGAGAAACCAAAAATATTGTGACTCCCTTTATTACAATATTGTTTTCATGGAAGTGGTCAGGACCTGAACCTGCAACCTCTTGGAGGTGATCCTGTACTTGAATATCTTCCTTACTACTGTACTGAGTCCAAAGCAGACTTGCTAAGTGCTGATGAAAGACAGTTCTCACACTACTTCCCATTTCGCAGAAAAAAAGCTGTAGGAAGTTTCTGTAAACACTTGGTAGAATTCATGAAAAGTTGGAGTGAGTCAAAAGAAAGCAACCTGGAGCAAGAAACTCTTATAGGCCCTCCCTGGTGGCACAACAGGTTAAAAAATGCAGCACCATGAAGCTAGCCACAGCCACTGTGGCCTGAATTCAATCCCAGCCAGGGAGGTGACCCACATGGTATGATGGACCTCTCCTAACTCCCCACTTCTCCCCTCAGCAGTGTGTTTCAACAGATCTGCCTGTTGTTCTGCTCATCATTCAGTCTCTGGTGAATCCTATCACCTCTCGCACACTTCTGTCCTGTATCCCAGTTCTTGTATGCATAAAAAAATAAATAAATAAAATCTTTAAAAAAAAAAAACTTTTACCTGAATTTCTATTTCTTCCTTATAAGGCTCCTGACAAAGCCTGTCCCTAAGCAGGGACTGCAGCAGACCAGTCATCATGATGGAAGAGACCACATGGGTGACCTTTTGACCATTTGGACGGAGGCCCTTTGCTTGGATATTAGAATTCTTCTGATAACCAAACACATATCTTAAGGAAGTGAAAAAGACCTATCAGTTCTCAGTAAGGCAGCTAGTAAGATGCCAACTAGTTAAGAACAGCAAAGGCATATACATACCTCAACAAAGGATTCTCAATGAGTTTTAGCTTTTGTTTTAACTGTTCAATCTCTGAATACAATTTTAAGCCTTCCACCATGGAGATGTTTTCTTGCTCGGAATCAGAGTTACAACTCGACAAACTGCTTCTTAGATTTAGAAATTTCCTGTAACTCTCCTCACATTGAGATAAAAGATTACGGTAGTCAACAATAAGTCCTGAAGGAACTCGGTCTTCAAGAATGTCATAATGCCTAAAAGTTTAAAAGCACGTTGAAATTCATTGCTGTTCACACATTTTGCTATCAGTAAGACAGCCCATTTAGTCCTCAAAGACCCAGTAAGAAAAGCGCTTTACATTATCTAGCTCAGGTACATATTAAGTCTTCCTTAGCAGCACTCTATTTATTATAAGTAGGAGCTATTGAAAGTTTTAAGCACCAGTTCATTAAGGTCACTACCTTATCTTCTTTTAAGGAGTGCTGTTTTTTCCCTTAGATCCAAGCATTTATGCTCTAGAAACAACGAGCATTCATGTTAACACCGTTTTCACTCTCATTATTTAAAAAGAAATTATTTTCTCATATGTTAGATTCAAAATCTTTATAGGTGACAGAGGGCAGGCTGGGGGTAGCGTCAGGGAAGGAAACATCCCAAATAGTTTCACAACAATTAAACTATTACCAAATGTAAAGGATTAAATTTACAAATGACTCCAATCATCTGGTCCTTCCTCAAATTTAAAGTACTCTGGCACAAAATTATGTTGACAATTTTAGAAACTGAGATTTCTGAGAAAAAAAGTTGTCACTGATAAATGAGAGATTAAAACAAAACATAACTTTGTATTGAACAACAGTACTGGCATTTAAATTTTAATTCTATATCTTCTCAAAAATATAAACAAAACAAAATATTTCTAGATGCAATACGCTATATATAAATGACTAAGTTCACAGATGTGAAATTAATGGATTTGAAAATAAAGTCCATATTGTCATTACCTATCATTTTAAAATAATCGCCTTATTTCTCAGTCAAAAGTATACTGACAATCTATGTCTTAGGTTCAGGTTTTCCATCCTTGGTTGCATATTAGAAACACTAGAGAGCATTTAAAAACAGAGATGCTCAGGTCCTGATCCAGATGGATTACATTGTTCTCTAGTAGCAGAGGTATTTTTCTATAAAGTACCCTGGGAATTCAAACGTGCAAATCAAGACTGATAGCTGTTGCTTTAGATGATGTTATTTTTAACTCTGTCATGCTCTAAATGAAAAAGGGGGTAGGATGGCCTAAACAAATTTACATTTTATGATTAACATTGAAGAAGTATTTAAAACAAATAAATTTTTCTGAATTTCAAGTAAATGAATTAGGTAAAGCTTGAAAAGCAAGGATTTTGTCTGCTTTGGTTAATCCATACTCATTTAAAGACATTCTGGAAATCCACTTTGCAAATAAGGGGCACAAACCAGTTGCTTATTAAGATTAAGACTCAAATTTTAAAATAAGTTTCTTAGCATTTCCAAAATCCATGCCAATCAGCTTATTTCTTCTTATTATAGTGATACTTCTAGTCTGGAAGCAATGAACCAACAATTGTGTCTCAAACCCATAAGCTTTGAAGCAGGGTATTTTGAAAGGAAAAATATTTACCACACAATGAAAAATCAAGACAGGATGGTTTGTTTCACTTTAAATCTTGGCTGTTGATAATTCTACTCCTATCTTAGCCCAGGGACCTTTCAAAGCATCTGCCTACATTTCATAACAATCCAGTTTCCCCCCCATGTACCACAATGTCTTCTCCATAACTGAAAACAATTTCTCACGTAAGCTACCCTGTCGCCAGTAATGTAGAAGGTATGTATGTTTCTTGTTCGTGCAGAGGGCTATGAAATCAGAATGCAGTTTTTCCAGGAGCAAATTTGCCATATACACAATATTCACCTACAATATTTTACTTAAGTCAAAATCAATTACCACTCTTTAAAAGCAAGTTTATCAAAATTAGAAAATACACAAATTTATTTAAAAACTGGCATTTTAATTGAATACACTGGAAAGATAGGAAATGAACAATGGAAAAATTGGAGAGAAATCATAACTAATTTATGAAGTGCTAAAATCAAATGTAATTCTAGACCAGGACTTTTACATACATTTTTACTTTTTAAGCAAAGGAAAAACTTAAAACTAAAATTGGGTTCCAAAAAAATGTAGATACTACGTCATCTACTACAAGGAAAAAATTAACATCTATAACATTTTTTTTTAGAGTTTAACCTTTAATTTTCTCCTTGTTGCAGTCTATTATATAACTGATGCCTGTTTTAAAAAAATTACCTGGTCTTAGAGCACCATCTAGTGGAAGGCTAAATGCCACATTTAACAAAGAAAATTCTCTTAGTTACTTGATTAATTTGGGGGTGGTTTTGTACAAAATAGTTTTTCCCAACCAAATTTGATAACTTAGAAGATGAATGTTTTTAAGTATTTTAGAAATTTTTGTTCATCAGTATTAACACTTAATATTTTCATTTGTCAAAGATTGAAAGAGAAAGGATTGACAAAACATCCTGACTCAAGTCTATTAGTAAATAAAACCATGTCTTTAAAAAACAAGTCTCTATAATTCATTTGATTTTACTGTTTTTCAAACATTGTCTTTAAATTTAACAAAGGGGTTTTTTTTTTTATCACAGTAGCTCAACAGTTTTATTCAGATTTACAAAGCACTGAGCTACTGTTCTTGAACCCTGCTTTTAGACTCAGTTTATAAAAGCTAAAAGTTGAATATCTGAAAAAAAAAAAAAGTTGAATGTCTGCACTTCTATCAATTTCTTTTATTAACTTTTCTACATATTATAGTATTTCTATATCAATCTTTTTCTGTCTCTGGGCCACATATGCCCATTCTGTGGGCATATACACACCACATAGGTAAAATTAAACCATAGATATAGCTTTTTTCCAACAAAGTCACTAATAAACACTTACAATCTCAATCGAGGCTCCACACATCTGACAAAATAATCGTACTCATCCTCCTCTTCTTCATCCCAACTCCTCCAAATGTTTTGGTAGAAAAACCTGAAAGGAAGTATTGTTCAATTCAATCTCTAGTTCAAAATGTTAGTGGGAGTTAAAGAGTAAATCAGAAGAAGTCCATCAACTATAGTAGAGAATGCTGTACATTGCTACACTTAATAGCCATGAGTCATAAGGACTTTGTTGAATTTGCTAAGTACGTTTTCACATAATATTGGTTCTGTTAGGATAATCTTTGTATCAGAAGTGACCATCTCTAACTGGATGGATGTGTGTGTCATTTTTATGACAGAAAAGAAACAGGGAGAGAAACAGGTTTGGGTTAAAAATAAAGAGCTCTGTTTTCATCACATTCAGATGATATATGCCTATTGAACTTTTATGTGGATGGGTGATGTCAAGTTTGCAGATGAATATAATCAGAGTTCAAGAGAAAGGTCAGAGCTAGTGATAAATCTAGGAACCATCAGACTATCAATGCTATTAAAACAACGGATGAAATAATCTAGGGACATTATATGAAGTAGTAGTTCTCAACCCTGGCTGCATATCGGAGTCCCTAGGAAGCTTTTAAAATTGATTCCAACCTTATCACAGACCATTAAGTGAGGTTGAGGAACGAAGAAGGAAGGCATTCATCTGTAAAGCTCCTCAAGTGATTTTACAAATTTTTTATTATGGAAAACTTCAAAAACTAAGAGCTAATTGTGTCATTAATACCACATATCCATCATCCTAATTCAACAATCATCAATTCATAGGTAATCTGATTTCATCTCTACTTCATTACTTCTGTTTCCCTCCTTGCACCACCTGGAGCCTGAATTATTTTGAGGAAATCTCAGACATGTATCATTCATACCATTCTAGAACACCTCTCCTGCCTTCTTCATAATGTTTTCAGTATGTATCCCTAAAATAAATCTTTATACCAGTTTTAATTCCTTAATATCCAAAAGTCCCATGTTTTTTTGTTGTTGCTGCTGTTGTCTTTCAGCTTGCCCAGATCAGGATCCAAACAAGATCAGTCATTGCAGTTCATAAATCACTTTTTTTTTTAATCAATTCTCCAGACTTCTTTTTCCCCTTGTTATTTCCATGGGGATCCTGTAACATGTTTGTCATTTACTTGTAGTCATGGTAAACTGATAGTAAGATCCAGAGTCTTGATCTGGCTCAGGAAAGATTTTTAAGCAAGAATATTCAAAGGAACGACATGCACTTCCATCAAGAGGCACAGACTATCTCATCTCTTAATAATGCAGTAAATTTTGTATTCAGGTGCTGTCAATCTGACCCATCTACAAAGTTTTCCAACTAATGATTACAAGAACAATTGAAGATCTCTGCACAATGTTTATTTCACTAGTGGTTGACAAATACAGATATATTCTAATGTCATTCCTCCTCATGTATTAGTTGGACTATTCATATTAAAAATATTCCCAAGTGATTGTAATGTGTTTGCAAGATTGACTAGAGAAGAGTAAATAGGCAAAGATCGATCCCTGGGTAACTCCAACACCCTGAAGTTTGAGCATGAGAGGAAGAATTAGACAACATGAATAAGAAAGCTATGTGCCATCAGAATGGTGGGAAACAATGTTGATAAGATAGGAATGACCAAAAAACTAGAAGGGCTTTGGTGACCTTAAGCACAATTTCAGTCACACAGTAGAAGGTAAAAACAATACTAGAACACCAGGAAGTATACACCATGACTATATGGTACGATCATGAAGTTCTGCTGTGAAAAAGGAAAAGCAATGAAAATGAAACCATCTCTTAATTCCTATAGATTAGACTGCCATCTCTTCACCCCTTCAGTCCATCTTTAAAAGGGAGAGTTTGAACATGTCTCCTTAGAGTCCCTGCATGCAAGCTCCCATCTTCATCTCCATGTGACACACTGGTCAGGCTTCCACCTTCCCTACTGGTAAACTTACATTTTGGTTTCTTTAAACAGCTCAAATATTATTCTCGCTAGTTCCATTCTGGACTTTCACATAGCATTCCCATCTGTACCTCTTCTAGTGTTCACTCTCTCAAGACAGAAATCCCCCACAGCCACTCATATCCCTTCCTCCCCCATAAATCCATCCCACCACCAAGTCCTAGCCATTCCACTTTCTCAATAAGCTTCAATCTGCCATCTCCCCACCTTCTTGTCAACTATTCCATCTCCCTCTATTCATTTTCCACACAGCAGCCAAAATGAATCTTTTAAAACAAAAGCAGATCATATTCACCCTTCAATGAAAATCATTCAATGGTTTCCCCCTGCTTTTATAGACAAAATTGATCAACAAAGTTCTGCATCTTCTGACCCCTGACAACCTCTCTAAGTTGGTTCCCCAGGTCTTTCCCATGCTGAATGTACTCAAGATACACTGGCATTTCAGCAACTTAAACTCACTGAGATTTGAAGCTGTTCCTCCCACCCTGCCCCAATCCCTTTCACATAGCTAACACTTTAGACCCAAATTCAATGCCATTTTCTCAGGGAAATTATGTAACAGCTACCTGCCTAGTCTTGAATACTCTGTAACTGCTTCCTCACTAGATTCCAGTCATGTCTATCTTTGTGTGGTTATTTGAGATTTACCTCCTACCTTTAAACTAACAGCTTTCTGGTGATGGTGACTGTATCTGTTTTATCAAAATTCACCCTTTAGTGAGGAAGTGGTAGTCAAATTATTTATTGAATAAACAAATGAAAACCCTCATAACTGACCATTTCTGGGCACTTGCCAGAATCTGAGTACTCAAAATGAAGAGTAAATTTGCTAGGGTCACCTTTAAATAACACCATCACCAATTCCAGATACTTGTCTTTCTTCCAACTTCTGTATTCATAGAGGAGATTCCCAATTCCTAATTTCCTACATTCATCAGCTATCCCTCCACCTTCCAATGATGAATTTTGTAATGAGAGAAACATCAGGAGGTTGCAGCCATCAATTCTTTCTATTTCTATAGTTTAGCCTAATTTTGAACACCTAGAGCTAAATACTCTTCACACAATTATAAATCTTCCATGAGAAATCAGAAGCTGGACCCTAGACACTTGCTTCTTTGTATTCAATGAAATTCTGCAAAATCAGTAATAGTACAGACTCACTAATAGAACAGACACTAAAATTCCTTTTAAACTACAGAACACCAAGCAACATTATTAAGATGAGTATTATCCTATCTTCCAGTTTCTCAAGGAAGGTAGGTCAATTTTTAAGCTGCCATTTAAAAAGATTTAGTGAATATGCTTATATACAGAAGACCCAAAAGAACAATCTGTATCAGCAACTAGCTAAAAAAAGATTTATCTGAAAGCTAAGTATAATGATTAATCCAAATATGGGATTCCTGCTCACTTAAGGAGCAAGAGGAGCACTAGTGGAAGTGGAAGTCAAACACGCCAGTACAGGCTGACAGGTGTGAGCACATCCCTCAGGATCTGGAGAGATCTGAGAAACGCCAGCTTTGACCAAATACGACACTGAAACGACAGCTGTTAGTCTTAACAGTGCATAAGCCATGGGACACCATCTTTTTCTCTTTGTCTTGTCTTCGTTTGCTTTCTTCCTACAGTAAAGGCCTCAGCTGTAAGGGTTAGCATTCAGAACTTTGAGTGAAGTTTTTAAATATATACAAACCAAATTAAAATCCTGTCTTTTGTTAGGACCTAGGGACACCAGGTAAAGGTTACAGAGGAATTCTCTGTGCTATTTTTTTTTCAGCTTTTCTACAATTTGAAATTATTTCAAAATGAAAATTTTAAACATTCTTAAAAAATGTTTTTATTTAAAGAGTACTAATATTTTAAAATACTGCAGAGACCAATCTGAGTTTTAACTCTGGGTATAACATCAGACCAGAGTTACTACATTTCATCTGAAGTACATGGCCATGAGTTATTTGCGTAAACTTCTCTTCCTACCTGACATGCTCAATTGCAAGTGCCGTCTGGTCAAATACTCCAGAATCATCAAATACTACCCACAGTTCCTGCAAGGGCAACTGATGTTCCTTCAGCTCAAGAAGCTCTTTCATACACTCCAAGGTAAAAGTGCTCACTTGAGATTCACAAAGGTACGGGTCAGCCAGTCTCACCAACGCCTTCAAGGCTGCAAAATCCACATCTATGACCTGAAATTTAAAATAACGGGATATAAAATATGGAAGTGAAATTACAACACACATAAGAAACTCTACTTACAAGCTGATTTTTTAAAGTATGAAATGATACAGAGAGACTTCTTCCATAAAATAAAGGACAAAGAATATGGGTGTGGCTCTCTTCCTCATGGGATTTACTCTGTAATCAGGAAGACAAATAAGCAACAAGATGATGATAAGTATGTGAATTAACTAGCAAGGATGGTGGTCTGGTTTTGCTGGGATGGTCAGAAATCACTTCAAAGCTGCAACAAAAATGAACTGAAAGGAAGCAGCCACTTGAAGAGCAGGAAG